GGGGTGCTGGGGCCAGGACAAGTGTCCCCAAGGGCTCTCGCTTCACACATTCAGAGAAGTTCACCTTCTACCTGGTGGGTGAGCCTGAGTAGACACAGCATGTGCTAATGGGGCATAGCTGCTTCGAAAGTTGCTTTATGTATAAATGCCATCCTTATTCACACAGGTTCCTCTGCCTCTACTGAGTAGGGGGTTCAGAGGGCTCCCCTAACCTCTGAGAACTTTAGTGGAGAAAGGGATGATAGGTGGATACCATGTGTGGGGGGGTGCTCCTGTCACAAACACTACCTTTCCCTAGGCATCCGTTTTTCTCTTTCTTTCTTCCTTCCTTCCTTCCTTTCTTTTTTAGATTATTATAAGGTTTATTAGAGGAGCCATATTTCCAGCAAGAGAGAGCACATGGCCTCAGTCACCATCTAGGTAGCAGGAAGGTCTGTCTGGGCTCTTTCTTTCTTTCTTTCTTTCTTTCTCCTTCCTTCCTTCCTTCCTTCCTTCCTTCCTTCCTTCCTTCCTTCATTCTTTCCTTCCTTCCTTCCTTCCTTCTCTTTCTTTCCCTCCCTCCCTCCTTCCCTCTCTCTCTCTCTCTCTCTTTCTCTTTCCTTCCTTCCTTCCTTTTTTTTTTTGTTGGTCGTGGAGCCTGACCTCTGGGCCTGGGCGCTGTCCCTCAGCTTTTCAGCTGTAGACTAGCGCTCTACCACTTGAGCATCAGCCCCACTTCCAGCTTTTTCTGCTTATGTGGTGCTGAGAAATTGAACTGAGGGCCTCATGCATGCAAAGCAAGCACTCTACCACTGAGCCACCTTCCCAGCCCCTTCCTTCTCTCTCTCTCTCTCTCTCTCTCTCTCTCTCCTCTTTCTTTGTCAGTCTTGGGCCTTAAACTCAGGGTATGGGTACTCGTTATCTTGCCCATGTAATTGTAACTCCTCTGTACAGTATTCTCACACACACAAAAAAACTCAGGGTATGGGTGCTCTCAAACTACTTTGCACCACTTCTAGTCTTCTGGTGGTTAATTGGAGATAAGAGTCTCATGTACTTTTCTGCCTGGGCTGGTTTTGAACCATGATCCTTAATCTCAGCCTCTTGAGTAGTTGGGATTACAGGCTTGAGCCACCAACATCTGGTCCTAGGCACTTTTCTTTGAGCTTATCTTTTCCTAGATGCTTATCCAGAGGAGCCTTTATTCTTCTCAGGGTCAGACTCAGGAATTTTTTTCCCTTTGGCAGCCACACTAGTTTAAGGTCACATATAGTACCTTTACCCCCCTAAGTTATAGTCTGAGCTGTCAGTAGTTGAGTGGGTATGGGTAATGCTTTGGGTTTTTGAGGCTGGGTGATGAGGAACAGGGTCTTCTGTAACAGCCAGGATGCCCCTGTTTTCACTGCTAGGAGCCCCAGGCCCAGGTAGCCCAGGTGGCAGACATTCCAGCCTCTTCCCGGCAGCCTGAACAGGTGAGCAGAATGGTGGGGCAAAAGGAACTGGGGACTTTGGCTATCTACTGGATCTGACACCTCTATTTCTACTGGTCTGTGCCTTGCAGGACCTGAAGGCAGCTCAAGAACAGGAGCTAGAGTCTCTTCGGGAACATCTGGAGGGTGTGAAGCAGAACATTGAAGAAATTGAAGCCAATATGAAGACTTTGGGAATCAGCCTTGTGCAGGTGAGGGGCTGAGGCCTCTGTCTGGGTCAGACCAGGCATAGGGCCTTCTGGGCCTAACTGGTGATCTGTAGAGGTCAGCAGATGCTAGAGGGACTTGGGGACTTCTAGAGCTCTTAAGGGTACCAGAGAATTGATGGAGGCAAGACTCATAGGGTTGGGAACTTGGTGGGTTTATAGGAGTTAGAGGCATCTGTGGTCCTTATAGGTGAATGTGAGGGTGTGTGGGCATTGGTAGGAGAAAGTGGGTCTGGATACCAGGGGCTTGTGGGGCTCCTTATGGCCATGAGCATGGCACCGGAGTCCAAGAGGCCTATAGGGGTTAGAGGCCATGTAGTGATCTATGGGGGCTGAGGGCTGTGGTATGTGACTGGGAGCTGGGATGCTGGTGTGCCAGGTAGAGACTGAATGTCGGCAGAGCAAGCTCAGCATGGCGGAGCGGGAGCAGGCACTGCGCCTGAAGAGCCGGGCAGTGGAACTGCTGCCTGATGGGGCTGCCAACCTCGCCAAGCTGCAGGTGGGCCAAGGCTGAGGCTGGGCTGGTCTGGGGAGGGGTAAAGGTTGAATGGGCCCGGCTTATGAGGCATGTTTCCCTGACTCTCTACCAGCTCGTGGTGGAGAGCAGTGCCCAGCGGGTCATCCACCTGGCAGGTCAGTGGGAAAAGCATCGGGTCCCACTTCTTGCTGAGTACCGCCACCTCCGAAAGCTTCGGGATTGCAGGGAGGTAGGTGGTGGGCTCTTGGGTGTTGAGTGTGGAAGGTCTGGTGCCTCTAGGTGGCCATCCTTGAGCTCTGCTCACTGCCCTCTGCCCATGGGCTCCTGGCAGCTAGAATCTTCTCGACGACTGGCGGAAATCCAGGAGCTACACCAGAGTGTTCGGGCAGCTGTGGAAGAGGCCCGTAGGAAGGAGGAGGTCTATAAGCAGTTGGTAAGGCTTGTGTTGAGGGCTCTGGGTGGCAAGGGTGGGATATAGACCCTGGGGGAGTGTCTGCCATGTCCCTGTTCAGGTGTCAGAGTTGGAGACTCTGCCAAGAGATGTGTCCCGGCTGGCCTACACACAACGCATCCTGGAGATTGTGGGCAATATCCGGAAGCAGAAGGAAGAGATCACTAAGGTACATACCACTGAGGCCCTGGCGAGTGGGTCACAGGCATCCAGGTATAGGGTGGCCAAACAAGGACCTTACACTCCTTTTTATTTAATGCCAGAACTGGAGCTTGGATTCTGGGCATTTTTCCTTAGCTTTTTTTTTTTTTTTTCTGAAGGCTAGTACTCTACTTCTTAAGCCACAGCTCCTCTTCTGGCATTTTGCTGGTTAATTGGAGAGAAGAGTCTCATGAACTTTTGTGCCTGGGCTGGCTTCAAACTCTGATCTTCAGATCTCAGCCTCCTATGTAGCTAGGATTACAGGCATGAGCCACTGGCACTTGGCAATCTTACACTCTGATAGGCAGACCTTTCTAGCTACCCTGACAGGACAGTCACACACAGTCTACCCTAGCCACATTGACACAGGCCCTGAGTTGATGTGAGTACATGCATAGAATACATATGAGTACCTACTCTGACCCAGACATTTGCTTATGGCCACCCTGGTGTCTGCTAGATCTTGTCTGACACGAAGGAGCTTCAGAAGGAAATTAACTCCCTCTCTGGGAAGCTGGACCGGACATTTGCAGTGACTGATGAACTTGTGTTCAAGGTGTGGGGCACACCAGCCTGGTGGGAGGGTGCAGGTGGGGCTGGACCATTGCCTGTCCATCTGCTCACAGGCTAGCTTTGCCTTGGGCTCTCTGTGAGTCTGTAGGCACACAGTTATTTACACATGTGCCAAGTGAAAGGCAAGGGTGGGAGAGGGTGGCCCTGAGGGACATGGAGGTGGCAGGGGAGGTGGGAATAGCCTGCTGATATCTTCAAGATCCCCTTTGCCTGGTCAGGATGCCAAGAAAGATGATGCAGTTCGGAAGGCCTACAAATATCTAGCTGCTCTGCATGAGGTGAGAGGAACAGTGTGCCCCAAGAAGGAAGGGGTTGGGGGGGTGGCTATAGAGGAACCAACATAGGTGCAAATCTTCTGTTACTGCTGTCCCCAGAACTGCAGCCAGCTCATCCAGACAATTGAAGATACAGGCACGATTATGCGGGAGGTTCGAGACCTTGAGGAACAGGTAAAGCCAGGGAGCTGGAGGGGAAGTGTTACAGGCCAGGGGGAAGCTCCTTGATTTTTGCTGACTGAGGCTGTGGGACAAGATAGCCTACAACTAGTGACTCAGTGCTCCTTAGTGCCTATGCTTGGTACCTGGGACCAACCAGTGGCCTACTCTGAGTACTTTCTGCTTCTACCCTGAGGGTCATGCCTATCTCCCAGAGCCAGTGGTAGAGGTTTTACCTTGGGAATGCTTTAGATGAGGGGAATGATATGTGGGAAGGAGCAGGCCACTTTTGGGGGTGCAGGAGGGGTGCAAAGTAGCTTTAATGGAGGGGGATGGTCAATAATGGTGGGGAAAGTGGCCCTGAGATTGTATATATCCCCTATTACCTTAGATCGAGACAGAAATGGGCAAGAAGACTCTCAGCAACCTGGAGAAGATCTGTGAGGACTACCGAGCCCTTCGCCAGGAGAATGCTAGCCTCCTGGGCCGAGTCCGGGAGGCCTGAGGATTCCTGATGGAGGTTTCCCACAGCCACAGGCAGAGATTTGGGGTGTTGGAGGCAGTGGCTAAGCACTTGCCCTAGCTCTTCCCTCTGTTTATCATTCAGTTCCTCCTGTCTACCCACTTGGCCCCAACCCTGATTGGACCGATTATCCAGATTGTTAGGGGCTCAGCTGCAGTTTTATTGGGTGGGCACTTGGAGAGGGGCATGGATCCCAAATAAAGGAGGGGCTCTTCTGTAGTCCAAGCTGAGGCATGGATCGGGCCCAAGACATAGGGAGAGGGAAGGCAAGTGGAATATGGGGTACATTATGGCCAGTCAGTGTATATCTTCATGGGACTGGGTGGGGAGCTTGTGTGTGCATATGTACACATGTATGAAGATATTCAGGGGAGTTCTACAGGCTGGGTCTGTGAATAGGCATATGTGTATGAGGAGCTGCATGAGACTGTGTATGACCGGTCATGTGTCTGTGTGGCTTTCTAGGACCTGTGGTCCTGAGGGTACTGATGCTGCTTCTGTGTGACGCCATACCTGTGGGTTCAGAGGCTGGGTGGGTGGGTGCCTTGGGTCTGTGAGTTGGACAGTCTGTGTGTGTCTATGCAGCTTTGAGGGCATTTGAGGGTACCCAAGCTGGCTCTTTATGTTTGAGGGCTTTGTGGGAGGATCATAACTGTGTCTATGTCACTTTTCCCACCCTGAAGCCATCTGTGAGTATCTGAGGCAGTCTGTATGTGTGTGGCTGGGTTCAAGAGCTCTGTTTGGCTGGAGAGTCCAAGTCTGGGGGCTGGGGGGTGGAGGTTTGAGGCTAGACTTGGACTGGGGCCCCTCTGAGCAGCCTCAGGGTAGAAGATAGGATCCAGGATGGCAGCCAACTCAGGGAGCAGACATTCTGGAAGGCAAGGCTGTGGATACTTTCCTTCCTGGTTTCTGTAGGTATGTCCAAGGCCTGCCACCCCTACCCCTACCACTTCTCCCCCTTTTAGCCCCTGGCTTGTCTTTCTTCCTTTCCATGGTATTGAGATCAGGGGCCAGGTGTAGAGTTGGAGCGCCTGCTGGGCCTCTGACTCCTTTTCTTGCGGAATTCAAACTCATTCACGGTCCACACAGCTCCTTTCTCACTCTCCACCCGCACGAAACACTTATGCAAACTCAGGTTGTGGCGGATGGCATTCTGTGGAAGGAGGACCAACCAGCCAGAGCAGGCAATCAGTTCCTCACTGAGGGCAACAGACCTGGCCATTCCCAACTTCCTTCCCCTTCCCCATAGGCCTGAGAGGCCAGCCCCATGTCTGCCTGCTGCTGTGCTGTTGTAATATTTGAGACCACCCCAGCCACCAGCACCTCCAGAGGCACTCACCTTCCAGGTGGCAGGGTGGTTTCGGAAGAAAGCAAACATACGTGTGAACCAGCGATAGATTTCATTGAGTGTCCGCTGCTTCTCAGGAGCCTCCAGGATGGCCTGGATTTTGGAGTGGAATGGGGTGAGGAGAGTGTCCCCTAAAGTCAGGACTAAGAGAGATAGTCTATTTTGGGCCCCCTGCACTGGTGGTGGAATTATGGAGGCAGGGGAGGGATGGGAAAGATGATGTGTGGTGGGGTCTGGAGTAGACATGGGGGAAAGGGTCCATTTAGGCTCAGAATTGGGCTTGCAGTGGCCTGGCTGGTGTTTTGGTCTGGGTTCAGGGACAGGTCTGGTTTGAAGCCAGCAGGAGGGGTCATATTTAAGAAATTCCTTGGGACTCCTCAGAGGGATGTGGTAGCTTAGGAGGCAGACCCCTCCCCACTGGGGCTTGAACTCAAGGTGTGTGAACCGTCCCCAAGTATTTGTGCTCAAGGTTGGTGCTCTACCTCTTGAGTCACAGCTTTACTTCTGGCTTTGTGTATCTAATGGAAATAAGAGTCCCATAGACTTTCCTGCCCAGGTGGCTTTGAACCATGATCCTCACATCTCAGCCTCCTAAATAGCTAGGATTACAGGCATGAGCTACTGGTACTTGGCTCCCCTCCCCTCTTTCTTTTCCCTCCATTGTGGACCTGAACTGCCCTGGCTTACCCAGCGGATGAGGGTGGCATAGGTGAAAGGCGGCCGCATATTGTGGAACTTGAAGTAGTCCATGTTGTGGAAGAACTCTGGCAGAGGGCAGGGAGGAGTCAGGCCCCATGTAGGGCCCCATGATTCCCCATTCAACTCCCTACTACTGGCTGCAGAGTATTTGACATAGTGTGTCTCCTTTCTGTACCACTCTGGCCCACCTTGTCCTCCCCAAGGTTGAAAGGAAGTATCTTGCCCATATGAGCAGTCAAGTGGCACAGCCAGGATGATATGGTTCTGATCCTTGTTAAACCCACAGCCCAATTCTGAAAGTGTAGGAGAGAGATTGGTAACCTTGGGCAAATCCATCCAAGGGAGGGTCTGTGAGAATTACGTAACTAGATCCTTCCTTTTCTTTTTTCTTTTTCTGATGCCAGTGCTAGGGCTTGAACTCAGAACCTGGGTGCTATCCCTGAAGTTTTCTGCTCAAGGATAGCACTGTACCACTGAGCCATAGCTCCACTTGTGGCTTTTTTGGTAGTTAATTGGATCTAACAGTCTCACAGCCTTTGCTTCCCAAGATTGCTTTAAAGTAGGATCCTCAGGTCTCATCCTCGTGAATAGCTAGGATTATAGCTATGAGCCATCAGCACCTGGCCTACATTCTTTCTGATAACCAGATCAGAGTAGCCCAATCCCAAAGTGGGTGAGACATAGCTCCAGTCCTCACAGGAGACAAGGTTGGGCTAGATATTTGGGACCATATAGAGGGTGCCAAGGCCATGGAAATCCTGAGAAGCATTGGCAAGCAGTTAACTTTGTCCCTAAGGGTGAGTGATGGGTAGTGGCTGTAACAAGAAACAATATGGAGCTCCTTTGTACCTCCCCCCAGCATGAGTTGGGATTTGGGGCTTAGAGTAATTAGGCTGGGCATGGATCACTCTTACCTGGGAAGGTGCTGTTTCCATGGCTACCCCAGAGGTGCCTCCGCACAGCAAACAGGCTATCCGAAGCATCCCGGGGTCCTGACCAGGCTGGGACGGTGCTGCTTTGGGTGCCAGAAGCTACAATGCAGCAGGAACCCTTGTCTAATGGTTCCTAGAGAAAGCAGGGTTGGGGGCTGGTAACCCAGAGACTTGAACTTCATCTTATTTATGTTTCATTTTTGGCAGTACTCCGGTTTTCTGACAGGGCTTCCTTTTTACTTGTTTAATTTTGTGCAGGTACTGGGCTTGAACTGTGTGCTCTCATTCTATCACTTGAACCACACCTCCACTTCCAGCTTTTTCTGTGTGCTGGTACTGGGGCTTGAAATCAGGGCCTTGGTGCTATCCCTGAGCTCTTTTGCTCAAGGCTAGTGTTCCATTTCCAGCTTTTTTGTGATTAACTGAGAGAGTCTCACATACTTTTCCTGTCAGGGCTGTCTTTGAATCACTATCTCAGCCTCTTGAGTAGCTAGGAGTACAGGAGCAAGCCACCAGTGCCCAGCTACTTCGAGTTTTTTGCTGATTAATTGGAGATAAGACTCTCTCAGATTTGTCTGTCAAGACTGGCTCAAACTTTAATCTTCAGATCTCAGTTTCCTGATGAGTAGTTAGGAAGTAAGTAGTGTTACCCACTGGTGCCTGGATTTTATTTACTTACTTTAAACAGGGTCTTACTGTGTTGCCCAGGTTGGTCTTGAACTCCAGGGCCTAAGTAATCCTACTTTAAGTTTCCTGAGTAGCTGAGATAATAGGTGGGTGAGCCTGTGCCTGGTTTAAAACAGTGGATTTATTTTTCATTTGTTTTTTGAGGTGCTGGGAGGCAGAACCTTTGTGCATGCTAGGCCAGCAGTTTACTTGTGAGTTACAACCTCAGGGCCTCCTCCTTTTTTGAGACAGGGATTTGCTATGTAGTCCAGGCTGGCTTTGAACTCACAGTCCTACTTTAGCCTGAGTGCTGAGATCACAGGCATGTATTATCACGCTGTATTTCTAAAATGAAAAGCACATTTTCTAGTAGTCTGTAGCAGAATTCACAAAGCACTGTAAGCCATATTGGTTAGAGTACAGGAATGTGTTGTCACAGATGGTGGGGCTGAATTGAGCCCCCCTAGCACTAGCACCCAAACTGCCTCTTATTGAACCAATCACATCTTCTTGCCCTCAGTTCTCATCTATGAATTGGGATAATAGTGGTAGCTATCTCATAGTGGTATCATGAGGCTTGAATAAGCTAACACAGCAGAATATTCAGAAATGGTGCTGGCTTAGTAGGCAAGTGGCCGGTGGGGTCATATGTGAACCCACACTTAAGTGGTCTGGGGTTCCTATCTTGAAATTTGAGCACAGATCTCTGCCTTGTTCTTTTGTGCCAGCCCTGGTGAGTTATGTAGTTAATGCTGTGGGGACAACAGTTTGCCTTCTGTAAATGGCTGGCTGCTTTTCCTTTGAAAATTAATAGTAATTGGGGATTGAAGGCTTGGAGTATGTATAAGATGGAAAATATCTCCAGCTCAGACATGTAAGGAGCTGGGCATGGCTCTTACACCTCAGGGTCTGTCTGTGAAGAGACATCTTCTCTTTTCCTGCCCACCAGCAATCCAAGTCCACTGCCTTAAGGGGTCTGAGGTGGCTCACCACAACTGGAGTCTTGGTCAGTGCCATTTTTCCGGCCAGGTGGGCCTGCATAGCTCCCAGCTTCTTTTTCTCCAGCTCCAGCTGTGGGGATGAGCACAAAAGCGAAGGCTCCATCTAGCCTTTTTTTTTTTTCCACATCTTTGTCTAGGCTTTGGCTTTCCTTGGGAGTACCCTCTCTCCCTCCCCGCTTAGAAAGCTTCTGTGCTACATGAGTCTTATTGGCACAGGTGGGCCTGCTGCTCTTCCACCATCCTCCATTCCTCCTGCTACCTGTGGTCCATACCTGTTGCTCCAGAGACTGTACCACCTCTTTCTGGAGGAGACACTGTGCTCTGCCCTTCTCATCCAAAAGGTGGTCTGCCTGGCAGTGCCTGAGTAGGAAGGAGATTCCATGTAGCTGATCACAACAGGCCTTGCCTCCTGGTTTAGAGTTGAGGATAGCCCAGACCCCGTAGGAGGCCTGTCCTCAGAGCCTTAGCTCCCCTCTACAGTCTCCCTCAGGCGGTTTCTCACTTGACCTTCCTTCGCCATCTGTTCTTGCTACCTATTGCCTTCCAGACCTGAACTTACCCCTTGAGTATGTCCAGGGTGTGGACAATGATGTTGGAAGGGTGGTGAGAGTGGAAGTGGTATTCCACATATAAGGGACAGTTTGTGCAAAGGCTCAGCTATGAAGAATTGCTGCTAATAGGTATTACAGAGAAGTGGAGGTGTGTGTGTGTGTGTGTGTGTGTGTGTGTGTGTGTGTGTGTGTGTGTGTGGAGAGAGGGAGAGGGAGGGAGAGAGAGAACAACAATAAGAAGGAAGGGGAGGCAGCATCAGCCATCTGGAGAAGCTGGGGCTTTGGCAATCATGAATATGCTCTGTTGGCATGAGGGATAGCAGTATAGATTTTGAATTCCCACCTCGGCCACTTAGGAACTGAGTGATCTTGATCAAGACATTTACCCTGTTTGGTCTCAGTTTCTTTGTCTATGAAGTGGAGATGATAATAGCACGTACTTTTAGTATTATGTCCCATTACACAAATGAGGAAACAGGCCCAGAGAAGCTGTGTTATTTGTCCAAATTCACCCGGCCAGGAATGATGAAGATAGGATTTGGGTCTAGGCTTAGCTTTTCCCTTTTCTATCTTACTACCTATCTGGAGGCAGCTTGAGTTGTGATCTGCACTCCAGACCTCTGTCTGCCCACCAGAAGTCCCTGGACCAGGTTGGCCTGGGCCACTCACTTAAGAAAGTCCTCTTGTTCCTTGAAGATCTTCTCACATCCAGGCCACTTGCAGACACCATTTGCCAGCAGTGGGCAGGGCCCTGAGGGTGTGCCTGAAAGAGTGCTGATGGGGAAAATCGAGGGTATTAGAGAAGGGGACAGTAAGGTGAAAAGTTACTTCTGGCCCTGCCCACTTACCTGTCCTTCCTGGATGCACCTGGGCTTGGGAAGGTGCAAAGCAAGGCTGGTTCCCTGGATACCCACTCCAGACTGGCCACGTTGATCCCTGGGGGTTGGTGACAGGGTACTTGTGTTGTGGGCTGTGCTGTGGCCTCCCCCCATCTTGAGTCTTGAAGACCTTCCCAGGAGGCCCTGCAGTTCCAACAGTCCAGGGCTTCTGGCAGAACAGTTCTTAAGACAGCCATTGGCAAATGCTGACATTTTGACTTAACTGTAAAGATCTGTGGTTCTGTGATTTTGACATTCTGTGTCTTCAGGAAACCTGACAGTTTTTTGGAGGTTGGAGTTTCCATGACTCTTTAAGATTTGATTCCCCCTGTCCCACCCTGCTCAGACCTCCAGAGGGCTGCAATTCAGAACCGTTAAGTTTGTGCATTTTCAAGGGTCTGGGGACTTTGGGGGTTCTTTGAAGCCCTGGGATATGGGCTAAGGTGTTACCAGGTGGCAGGCCAGGCCGAGCCTTGAGAGAGAAGACTCCAGTGGTGGCAGTGGGTGGTGGGAAGCTGATCATGGCTGGGCTGTCCAGTGGGTGCACCTGTAGCACAGGAGTCCGGGTATGGGCATCGACTGTGGAGAGCTGGGAGACACATAGGTGCCCACAGCTCAGCCTGGCTCATGGACCTTTCCCAAAGGTTTTCCCTCTGCTCCCTCCTCCTGGTCAGTGCAGGATTCCTACCTGGTGCATGAAGTGTGGTCTATCCTGGAGAAGTGCTTGCAGGTGAGGTGAGGGGCCCAGTCGGGCTCCAGAAGGTGCCACCATGACTAGGGGCACTGTAGGCAGCTGGAAGGAGAAAGCAGGTGCCATGAGTTGCCAATCTCATCCTCACTGTTCTGGGGTCTACTTCATATGTAACTTCACCACAGCCATACATGGGCAGTACTATTGTCATATCCAGTTTACACATGTGCAAACAAGGCTCACAGAGGTGGAGTGATATATTAAGATCAGAGTTAGGCAGAGTTGGCCTCAACCTTGTCACCTTAACTTTTTGGGCCCCATTATCTCCTCTTGTACGCTTGAGATGAGGACACATGCCTGTGCCCATGGGACTATGATAGGGTCTCTTCCTTTCCAGAGGCAGGGATTGATTGGGTGGTCGTGGAGAGCCTCAAATTCTTTGAGGCCCAGAAAATGGGGATTTTCTTGGCCTTGAAACATCTGCATAAGTCACAGACTTGCTGCCTGGGACCCAAAACCACTTCCTGTGCCCCAGCCACCCCCCCCACCCTGTGCCATGGTAAAGGTCGGCACCTGTAGACCCAGGTACCCCACCCTGTCTGCTCCATCCTGGACCTGGGCCTCACCTGCAGCTGTGATGGTGGCAGGGGGTTCAAGGAAGAAGAGGCATGGGCCCCATCTCGTAGGTTCCAACCTTGCAAGATTCCTCCAGGGCCCCTGGCTCCCAGGTGATCAGAGGTCTTGGGTGCAGCCTTCCAGCAGGAAGACGTTCCTAGGGATGGGTCGAGGGCCAAGGAAGGGGCCGTGGGTTTGGCTGGCCTAGGGTTGGGCATTTGGTCCTTGTTTGAGGGCAGGCTGCAGGGATGATAGGGAGAAGGAATCATATGTGTTAGGGGCAATGTAAGATTCTCAAGTACATAGACCACATGGACACTTCTCTAGTTAGAGAAAGTGTTGGCTTCGTTGTCTCAGAGGTCCCCGTAACCACATTCCATCCAACTCTGGCTCCTCCTGCCACTATTCTATGTGTATATACGTGTGTGCATGCACAGACACACTGATAGAAGGAACACAGGCATGCATGTAAAGCCCCTCTCCCTATGCACAGGTCCAGTACTCTGCTCACTGGCATGCACCAGCACAGGATGGTAGGAGGGCTACTGACTTCAAGTTACAGTCAGGAGAAGTTGCTGGCAGCTTGGATATGGGGGGGGGGGAGAAAGGGAAGGTCAAGGGGACTTCTGGATTTTAGCTTGAACAACTAGGACAGAGCTGATGCTAGCAGAAATGAGGTGGGGTGGTAATCAGGTGTACATGCATTCAGGGGTCTGGTGTTAGTGGCATTAGGCATCTGTGTAACCTACAAGTGGATGACTGAATAGAGGAGTATGAAGTTCAGGGCTAAGCAGGGACATCATCTCTGGGTATTCTGCACAGAGCTGGCAGAGCTGATTGCCAGAAAGAAAGACAGGGAGGTCAGGCTTTCTTAAGTCAAGGCTTCATAGCCTTCTAAAGGAATTGAGCCTGGGGCTGGGAATGTAGCTTAGTGGTAGAGTGCTTGCCTAGCTAGCATGAATGAAACCTTGGGTTCGATTCCTCAGTACCACAAACAGAAACAGCCAGAAGTAGTGTTGTGGCTCAAGTGGTAGAATGCTAGCCTTGAGAAAAAGAATTTCAGGGAGAGTACCCAGGCCCTGAATTTGAGCCCCAGGATGCCCCACTCCTCCTAAAAGGACTGAGCCTGTTGACAACTTGAGTCTGGACTTTGTAACTTCCTGATACATTTGTGTTGTTTATGTACCTAGATTGTGATACTTTGTTACAAGTCTGAGCAAACAGCTGTCTAGCCACCAGCCCAACTCACTCCATGCTCTCCAGATGGCTCATGCTATTCACTCCACCTGTACTGCCCATACTTCTTCTCCTATCTATGCCATTCAAGGCCTGCTATTCTATTGTTCTCCTGAATAGCCTCCACAGTGGTTCCAAATTCCTCTGCTGGATCCCACTTTATTTTAATCGTTTTATTTTTGGTTGGTCCTGGAGTTGAACTAAGGGCTTGGACGCTGTCCCTAAGCTTTTTGCTCTACACTTTGAGCCACAGCACCACTTCCCGTTTTCTGGTAGTTAACTGGAGATAAGAGTCTCATATACTTTCTCACCCTGGCTGGCTTTGAACTGTGATCCTCAGATGTCAGCCTCTTGCACTTTTTTTTGGTCAGTCATGGGTCTTGAACTCTGGGCCTGGGCACTGTCCCTGAGCTCTTCAGCTCAAGGAGAGTGTTCTACCACTTGAGCCACAGCACCACTTCTGCTTTTCTGGTGGTTAATTGGAGATAAGAGTCCCATGGACTTTCTTGCCCAGGCTGGCTTTGAACTGCAATCCTCAGATCTCAGCCTCCTGAGTAGCTGGGATTACAGGTGTGAGCCACCAACACTGCCTGCCCCCACTGCCTTATATTCCCTGAAGTATATGGCCCCAGTTTCTCAGAATCCTGTAATCTCAGTCAACAAGTCAAAGCTGGAAGGGACTGTCCAGTCCAACTTCCAGTTTGCTGAAGGGGACACCCAGGCTTAGCGTTCCACAGTCCCAAGGTAACTTGAGACCTTTAGTTCTTTCTCCAGAAGTGTATTGTGCCCATTTCATAAGCTCCTTGCTTTGTGTACATGTGTGCACGTATGTGCATGTGATTTCCTGTCCTACAACACAGCACTGGGATGGACACACAACTGCTGACAGGGGAGTACAGGTGGGTCCTGGGGGGGGCAGTCACTCCATCCTTTCTTTGTCATCACTTCATGGGGGTTGTCAGCTGTGGTGCTCATAGAGATAATGTGCAAGAATCTAGATTAGGTCCTTAGTTTTTCTGGGGTTAAAACATTAGTATACAAATCATAAGTCTGTGTCTACAAAGGCTGAGAACAGAGCCTGGGAAGGGGGCTGCTGAGATGAGGAGTTGAACTGATGAATGAAGGCAAGTGTGACATAGTGCTTTTGCTAACCAAAAGAACGTCGACAATCACTAGCAAATCACTAGAAACCAGCAGAGAGGCCTGGAACAGATTCTCCCATGCAGATGTCTGAAGGAACCCTATCCACATCTTGATCCTGGACTTGTTGCTTCCAGAACTGAGATGATACATTTATATTGTTGAGGCCACATGGTTTGTGATACTTCATTACAGCAGCCTGAACAAACATATCAATTTTGATGAGCAAGGGGAATGTCTTCCGCCATGCTGGCCTAGCCTACATGGGGCTGGCTTGTCACTTCTTCATCTGCCTGGACACTTTGTTAGAGTTTATAAGACATATCCTCCCCAAATACATCTGGAAACTGCCTGACTCTGGGAAATACATTTAATTTCTCAGAAAGGACCTGGATACGGTCTGTCTGGTGGTGGGGTACCTGGAGGGCTGGGCTGGCCAGTCAGTTTCCTGTACTGTCTCTTGGGGCGGCCCTTTCTGACTAGGTTTCTCAGAAGCTATATAGAGGATGTTTCTGGGAGACAGATTATGTTTTCCTATTGGGGGTCTACACTTAGGCCCTGTTATCGCAGCCTCCAACTTGTACGGGTTTTTCTGCCATTGACGTCATGGCAGCCGGATACGCTGGGCTTCATCTGCACGGAGGAGGAAGAGAAGGAGGTACATTTCCACCACACGGGTTTTGTTCCGAGAACTCGCTAGCCCGCCCTAGCTGCCTTGGCCCAGGTGGGATGACGTGGGTGCTAGCGGATGTGGTGGGTGACATCCATCTGGCCATGGTACAAGCCCTGGATTCTGTAAATTGGGTCTTTCTTGGGTTACAAAAGGGCCCCGACTTGGGAGTTTGGTGAGTACCAGGCATGCCCTACAGATATTGAGACCCCTGGGGTCTTCAAATAGCCCAGCGCCAGAACCCCAGAATTGTAGGGCATCCTTTCTTAGATTCAAAGGATCCCAGAATCTCAAAACCACATATTCACTGGAGTTTACTGACTTAACTTCTCAATACACATAGATCAATGTCCTTGGTTTACAACAAATGGACTACCTGAAGGACAGGGAAGCTCACAACTTCAGATGGCCTCCTGCTCACTAGGCCTGGAATGAGCTTCTTCCTCTAGCTCCCTCCTGAACTATGATAGCAGAGAATCAGAAGAGCTCTTCTCCTGCCCTGAGCCTGGGATCAGGCTGTGTCATCAATCAGCTCTAACACTCTTTCAAGTTTATATCTACATTGGTGATAGGTACAATCTTCCAAATGAATAAACAAGAACTGCTGAGCAAAATGGCGGTGCTTTGTAAATGGGCATGTACATGGCCTCAGACTAACAGTTTGCCTCAGACAATGCCCCTGAGTTTGTAGCACTCTGCCAGAGATGGGTACAGTAGGAAGAAGAGGTTGAAGTTGACTGGCCTTGTGGTCTGGGCCTTACAGAGGGAGTCTACTACCAGGCTCTCTGGAAGGAGTCTAGGATAGAAATCCCTTGAGAGTAGCACCAGTTCTGAGGAGACAGACACAGACAGACAGACTGATATCCTTCTATCATTAGGGGCCCAGGACTTCCACTAGATTTTGTGAGCCTGGGCCCCATGCCATGATTATGGATCACCCTGCTTAAGTCAGGGTACAACCTATGAAAAGGCAGAAGGTGGGAGTTGACAGCCAGGGTCTCACTTTGCTTACCTCAAAGGTCCAGAGGGGGTAAACTGAGGCCCACAATAGGGAAGAGACAAAAACAAGCAAGAGCCCACTGAACATTCTGAGATCTGGTTTTAACTATGCAAGTACATATCTGTGAGGCCTGGATAAGGGTTCTCTTGCCCATGTCTGGGCCTTAGTTTGCCCCTTCCATACAAGGGAAGGGAGAAGGTATAGGACAGACAGGACAAGGACTCTTTTCCTTGGGGTTTGTGTGAGTTATGAGGTATGTAGAAGGCTTTGAATTCATAGATGCCCCTCTATGCAGGGGTGCAGAGAGACAAACCTGCATACACACAAAAATGGAAGGCCAGAGACAGAGAGTAAGAGAAATTGAGGTGGAGAGAGACCTTAGGTGGACAGACGTAGATACATAGAGAATGAGAGATATAGGGGGTTATTATGAGAAACTGACACAGAGAGACAGGATCGCCTCAAATAAGAACAGTCACTGGCCACTAGTTGGAGGACATATGTCAACTGTAGTAATGAAGACCAGGGAAGAACAAGGTGTTAGAGACACCCACGGCTGGATATTGGATTGTACTGCAAAGCAATAATCAGCAAAGTAGTGTTGTCTTGGTACAAGGACCACACTGAGGAACAGAATAGAATAGAAAGCTTGGACACAGACCTATGCAAATTGGGTATTGAGTTTGTGTGATGAATACAGTATTTCAACATGGGGAACAGGGTAGGCTAGATTAACAAATGTTTATGAGATAATTAGAGGGAAAATAAAGTGACTGGATGGATAATCAGTCCATTTTCCCACCAGCCCCTCCCCGCCCAGTGTGAAATGTCACAATCATCATATGCTCTAGAATAAATTCCTGATCTACTACAGAGATACATTTTAATATCTAACAATGATTGTCTGTTTATAATGTGTCTAGCCCTGTGTGAAGCACTTATTATGATTAATAAATTTAATCCTTTACAAAGACCCTTTGAAAAAGATACTACCACGGTACATATGAGGAAGTGGAAGTACAGCTAAATATCACACAAATGACTTGGGTGAGTCTGGATTCGTTTCAGACAGTCTGGCTCCAGTACACTCTTAACCTCTATAGTAAGTGGAAAAAATGAAGCCATAAAGAAGACTAGAAGCCAAGGCAGAGGTGAACATTTATCTCATTTTCAAGTGGGAAAGGACTTTCTAAGCACAAAACCAGACAGAAACCACACTGAAAAAAAAAGCTAACCTATTTGAATACAAAAAACATCCTAAGTATCACAAAACACCATAAACAAATAGAAAAGGCACATGATGAGATGGGATAAATATTTTCTATATTTATGGCTGACCAAAGGTTACTATTTTTCCAAATAAAGAGCCATGGCACTCCTTTGTATAACTACTTAAAGATAGTAAAAATATTTTTAAAGAGCTATGACAAATCAGTAAGAGAAAAACATGAACACTCTATTAGTACTAAGGATATAACAAGACAACAATCCTCAAAAGCACAAATGGCTAATAAGCAGTAAAAACAAGCAAGGAATACAGATTTCAACAAGTCAGTACTTTGTTTTCTTGTTATATTGGAAAAGCATTGAATAAAGGAGCAATACCCACTAGGATTAGATTGAGTACAGGGAGTATAAAACAGGACATCTTTTGGAAGAACAATTTGCAAAGAGGGCCAGAAACCTTAAAAATATGCATCCTTTATTCCCTAGCAATTTCATTTTCAAGAATCTTAAGGAGCCAGGATGGGATGTTTATGGGGAAAAATGAGAGCCAACCCAAATGTCCAATGATCAGCACCTGATCCACTCAATCACCATTCACGACAATGTGAAGACAGTCATAACAGGCATGAAAGATCATGTGTTCAATTTTTACTGGGCTATAAAACTCATTAGTTGAATAAAGCATGCACAAAACCAATAGAGTGGTTCCCATTTGGTTATAAATACTAATAATTAACATTTAATGCGCATTAGAATATTCCAGAGTGCTAAGCCAGCAGAGACAAGCTCACCCTAGCCCTGAGGGGCCAGAACTCCTCCTGGACACGGACTCTGGTCATAAGCACACAGTTCTGTACTAAACCATGGTTGACCATGGTATGAAGTGCCCCCCCCCGCCTTGCCCCAGGAAAGTCTCCTCTCATGCGATGCAAACCCAAGGTCAGTTAAATAAATTCTCCGTCTAACTTGATATCTTACAATCCTCCTGCTACTGGGGCAAACAGAACTGATGCCCATTCTTGGAAAATATAAAGCTCAACTCACTATAATTAAGCGTCATTTGTGTCCAAATCTCTGTGCTGGATGCTGGGTGGGAAAGCAAGTGAGGGAAGGTGAGTCAAGAGAGTAGAGAGCCCATGGGAGAGAAATGGAGGAAAGGTGATGGATGGAATGTGGCCAAGATGGAGGAGTTAGACAGGGGAGATGATCAGAGCCTGGAAGATAGAGGGACAGAGAATCTTAGTTCCAGGGAGACAGACAGATAAATAGCAAGAGAAAGAGGAGGATGGAGAAACAGGAAGGGACAGACAGGGTGAGCAGAGAGATGGAGAATAAGGAGGCATTGAGAGGGAAGAGACAGATGACGGAATGCAACTGAAATTTCAAGTTACATCTGGATGGCATTTCAAATTGTTCAAAATTCTGACATCCACAAAGACTGGCAGTTTACGTATTAAAAATCGTACTCATCTGCACACCTATCAGTTAATTGATTGGTCTTTGTACCTGCCCAAGCATTGATGGAGTGCTTTACCTATCTGGCAATTTATTGCCTTTTAAAAAAATTTAAAAAGACCTTACCTGGTGGGCTCACAAGTGGCTGGGTGTGTCTAGCTGTAGAGAGGGCTCCTGACCCCTCAAAGCCTACCTCCCTGTCATCTCCTCCATTGGGACCCGCATCTGATGGGAAAGAGTAGGATAGGGACACTCACCTTGATGAAGTGGAGTGACAGAGAAGGATGAGCCTGGCTTGTGGGAAACTGTCACGTATCAAAAACAACGTTGCTTTTATGCTGAGAAGAAAACCACTGCGTGGAAGCCACAGACCTCTCTCTTCTAATAATCCAATTTTTCTGATGAGTATGTGTGGTGATAATCACAGGGTGGGGGGGGGTTCTCATAGTTTTTTTTTCTCTCTCTCTTTTGCTTGCTGTTTCTTTGCTTCTTGATTGTGAGACTTAAACGGAAATTTTGAAATTTTGGGTTTTTTCTTTGCCCTTTACCAGTCATCTGAAAATATGATTTCTTCCCCTTACCACAGAGGTGAGAGGTATCAATGAGATAACAGGGCTCATGAAAAAAAAAACCCACAGTTTTTTTTAAACAAAAGTGTGTAGAGTCAGAAAAAAAATAAGGGAAAAGAATTAAAATCACAGGGGTATCCTAGGTGAGGCAGAGACAGCACTCTGTGTGTGATAAGATATTTGAGGGTCTCTAGCTTAAGAAAGAATGAATCGAAAACATAACTTTGTCCTTCTTCCAGCCTCAGTTTTCCCTTAGGTGGAATCAATAGGGGCACCACCATTTGTGTTGCCCAGGGCGAGGGATCTCTGGACACCCTCATCATACATTCATAGAGAATACATTCATAGGTATATTCATAGAGAAAAAAGTGGGGCATCCACCCCTGTCCCCCACAATTCATGGAATTGAAGAGTTAAGAGTCTTTGGTTCCCAGAATCCACTGAGAGTCACTGAGTGAGAAGGGAGAAAAGTCTTGCCTTACATGTCTTAGAGTTTAAGTGCTCTGGCCTAGCTGCCATCTTACTGAGAAGGTCCGGAGTGGTCCCCAGTATAAATGCATCCAATTTCACACAAAAAGGCTGGAGTGTAGTTTAGGGGGTGGAGTGCTTGCAAGGCTCTGGGTTCCATCTCAAGCACTACAAAAGCAAAATGAAAAAGAAAACTACACCACACACACACACACACACACACACACACACACACACACACACACACACACACACTACAACATTTCTTTTGAGTGTAGTGATGCATGTCTGTAATCCTAGTACTTAGGAGTTTGAGGCAGGAAGATCACAATTTCATTAGCAGCTTGACCCTGTCTCAAAAAACAACCACCACCATTACTATGAAAACTACCATCACCACCACCACCACCACCACCACCACCACCACCACCACCACAATAAAACAGAACTTCACAAAGAAGCCCAGAGGCTTTTTCTGATCCTTTTGTCCTGTTAGGAACAGCATAACTTGATGTTTCTGATATCCTTTGCCTTTGCAATATTATACTCTGAAAAGCTTCAGTTTGTAAGGATGTAGGATTCCAAACATGCACCATCATCTGGTAGCTGACATTTATCTCAATTTTCCACATGCCAGACATGCTTCTTACAAAGAACTGTGTTCAGTCCTCACCAGTCTTTTGCGGTCCATCTGGTCATGACTGCATTGCTGTTATACAGGAGAAAATGGAGGCACGAAGCAGTCAAACAATTTGCCCAAGATCACCGAGTTGGCAGATTACAGAGGGTGTGTATGTTGTTTTCCTTAGTGGGTAGCCTTTGGAGCCCCCAGTTTTCCTGACCCCCAAAGTCTCAGGTTTTCACTTCTCTATGCCATGATAGAGTGGTTCTGGGATTTGGAGATTCCTCTGGGGCCTCGACATTTGTGAGGTTTTAAAGTTGGTCATTATTTGGCAGTTGCATTTTCTCACTTCAGCATGTACCCACTCCTTCCAACAATTAATCAACTGGGAGACCAGCCTCCAGGGGCTTTTCCTGTTGGGCATAGCTGGGCTTCTAGTTTCCTGCTCTTCAGTGTTCTTCATGGCTTGGGGTTCTAGTTATCCTACATCCATTCTGGCCCCTCTGTAAAACTGGCTCCAGGCTTGGGAAAGATAAGTTGCCAACAGCCTTTTTATTCACAAGGTACAAACCTTGTGGCCAGGATCAACCCCTTTGCCCCTTCTTTCATCTGCTCCTTCTCCCTTTCCCTCCCCCCTCCGCCCCCGCCCCATCCTCTTAGCACTCAAAAAAGGAAAGCATCCTTCCTTAATTCAATTTACTTTCCAGGCCCAATTGGCCTGGCAAAAGACCTTAAAAAATTAGCCCAAAGCAGTTAAAAGAAAATGTTACTAGGCTAGTAGTTCAAGGCTGTGATCCTGGCATTTGGGAGGCTGAGGCAGGAGGACTGTGGATTGTGAGTTCAAGGCTAGTCTGGGCAAAAACTTGTCTAGAACAAAGAAAGGGGGGGGAGCTGGGAATGTGGTGGCTTAGTGGTAGAGTGTGTGTCCAGCATGCATGAAGCCCTGAGTTTGATTCCTCAGTACCACATAAACAGAAAAGGCCAGAAGTGTCACTGTGGCTCAAGTGGTAGAGTGCTAGCTTTGAGCAAAAGAAGCTCAGACACAGTACCCAGGCCCTGAGTTCAATCCCTGGGACTGGCAAGAATAAAGAAAGAGAAAAAAAGAGAAAGAAGAGAGAAGAGAGGAGAGGAGAAGAAAGAAAACAAAAACCCAACCTTCTTTACCATTAGTCTGAAACAACTAAAACAACATTCACTGGTTGATTCTGAGATGTTGGGATACATCTGAGACCCAAAGATGGCTCATGTGTGTGCTTGGCAGCTGGAGGAGGTATCATGGTGGAATGAGGACCCTCCACTTGGAGGTCTGAAGGGATCTTGTGTATAACAGAAATTATTACGTGTGGGAGGAAGCAAGAGAGAGGGTGAGGAACATTCTTGTCAGGAAGGAATCTGGGGAGCTGACTGTAAGCATGTCCCCAAGGTTAATAATCCCCTGCTACTTGTGGACTTGGGTCTGAGCATTCCTTACACATCCTGTGTAATTATAAACAGAGGTCGCTTTCCATTCCCTGTACCTGTTTCTGACTGGGTAGGAACTGTTTTTCTCTTTCAGGGTCCTTATGCTTTCCCTAACTATCTTTTACTGTCACTTGCTCCATGACAGTGATTGTCAGAAAGGTGGGATAAAAGCAAGAGGTTAAATTGGCCAAAGGTTTCAAAAAGGCTACTAGAGTGAGGTTTAGGGTGTGGGAGGTATAATGATCTGGAAAGCCAGGATTTTTGTAGAATGAAGGCTGGGGATCAGGTGATTACAGAAGGGCAGAGGTCACTACCTGTCCTCTGTCTTGGACTATATCCTCTTGCACAGGGGATTCTGGGGAAGGGGATTGGGAGGGATAGGAGGTGGGGTGAGGGAGTAGGATTAAACAAGTTGAGAAAACACCCTCAGAGAAGGTTGCCTTTGACAAAGACTTGGGGGCGGCAAGGGAGGGAGCCATGTAGATACCTGTGGAACTCCAGAAGTAACAGCCAGTGGAAAGACTTTGAGGTGAGAGTATATTTGATTTGTTCTAGGTCTAAGGAGGCTGGTATGATTACAGTGGAATGAGTGAGAGGAAGATATGTAGGCGATAAGACAGAGAGGAGACTGGTGGGGTTAGACCATGCAGGAACTTTTAGGCTATGAGAAAGACTTTGGCTTTTACCTTGTGTGAGGAGGGAAGTATGGGAGGTTTATGAGCAGAGAACATATACAAACTGTCAGGATTTAACAGGATTCTCCTGGCTGCTGAATATAGGGTGGAGTGCAGGGGGTTCAGGGGTTTGGGTGACTGGTGACAGTGCCAGTAGTGGAGGTGGTAGTGAGCAGGTGGATTGGAGAAATGTTTTCAATACAGTAACTACAGGATTTGCTGAAGAATGAGTGCTGGGGGGAGGGGGGCAGATCAGGACACAGATGGTGTCTCTAATGGGTGGGTAGGATGAAGTTCTGGACTACTTGCCAGATTGAACTTTTAGGTGAGAAAAAAACAGGAACAAGTTCTATGTTATTTAAGCCCTCGTTATTTCATGCCACTTGTAGCTGAACATAATCCTTCCTGACTCATGACACTATCCTCGACAGAGACCTGAGGGAGAGAGCCACTGTGAGGGATTGCTTCCCTCTTAAGGATGCTGTGAAGGTTGGATAACTGCATGTTTAGAACTGCAGCAGATGGTAGGCATGCAGTAATTCCTTCCAGAATTGAAGGGGATTCTATGAACGGGTGTATTTTGCTATCAGCAGCTTTAGGAGTTTCTCAGTTCCCTTTTCAAAGGGAGAGTGAGAGGAGTAACTAGATGGAGAAAGCAGAAGGAACTTGGGAGGGAAGGAAAAGCAGAGCTGGGGAATAAATAAAGCAGGTTTTCAATCCCCCCTCCCTCCCTTTCTCTCTCTCCCTCTCTCCCTCCCCTCCCCCCTCTCTCTTGCTTCTGTGGGATATGGGTTATGCAGTGTTAAATTGGCTAAGCACAGGTTTTGATTTGTAGCTATATTAGCCACTGTCAACATGCCCAATTTAATTCTTGGTGGCACAAAGAATCAGTGTTTATTGAACTGAAGATAGTAAAAGCTAATCTGACAAAAAATTCCATTTCGTCACTCATTCAACAATGGTGCCACGTCATGGATAATGCTGAGGATCAATGAGAGATTTTTAAACCAGCAAGGAACAATCGGGGGCATTCTTGCTCATGGCAAGAGAGACCTGATAACTGTTCAGGGAAAGTCATGTTTTGATTTCTTTGGTCTCACACTAGGGTGCAGTCTCTGCCTCCAGGGGCTCTGTGCATTGCTGGGGATTCATGCAAGGTTAAGGAGAAGGTAAATATTTCCTCTAGTGGAATATAATCTGCCTGTATTCTCTAGGTCTATTGCTAGCTCACCCAGTAGTTGTGCCTCTGTCAACGCCCAGTCCTCCATTCTAATCTCCTTATTGGCTACCCAGGGCTTCTTTCAACTACCTTCTTTCAACTGGCCTCCGTTGGTTCAGTTCTTTCTCATCGGTCTCCAAATCCTCCCTTGTCCGTCTACATTATCTAGCCTCAGCATTGGTTAACTCCAGACTACCACTGCCCTTTGAGATCCAACAGCCCTCACCATGGCAACCCTATAGGCTATCTGCTTTCTCTTCCTCAGTCCTAGCACCTCCCCATACCAACTAGCGCTTCCTCCTACAGCCCCGCCTCCGTGGCTGCTCACACACCGCCTCTTGGCCTCCTTTTGTCTCTGTATTGGCTAATTTTGCCCTGGTACCGCCCTTTGAAGCCGCAGTGCATGCTCGCCAGACTCTCCATTGGCTACTTGTAGTCATTTTCGTCATCTTGCCTTTACGTCATTGACGCGCGGTTCTTCATTGGCTGTTCTCTGTCTCTATCTTACGTCCCACCGCCTACGCAACCCGCGGATCTCCCACTTTTCAGACCTCTGGGTTCGTTCCCTGCTGTTACCACCGCTTGTAACCATTCCACTTTCCCTGCTGCTTCCACTACCGATCTCATTCAGCTCGCATTAGTTGTTCCGCCTCTCTCGGCATCCTGGGTCCCACACCACCCCTACTCGCGCCTCCCCATTGATTCCCTAATCATCTCGCCTCCCACCCCGCCCACTCTCAGTCATCTCCATTGGCTGCGTGCATTGGCTCTCCAGTCACCCACTTACGTCACCCGCGCGCCGTTACCCATTGGCTTTTTGCTATACCAGTCTTCATCTTGCCGCCTACGCCCCCTTGAGCCCTACCTTCCCGCCCTGGCCTTCCCATTGGCTGCTCGCCCCTTTAGGCCCTGCCCCCGCCGGTCCCG